AGAGAGAGAGAGAGAGAGAGAGAGAGAGAGAGAGAGAGAAGGTGTCTTTTTTGTAATACAGGTGTTTTCAAGCGTCCCATTGACACGTTTTAGATCATGTATTTGGAGGCAGGGTTCTGCCCTACCTGTCAGTGCCAACGCAGGCTGAGGCTGAGAGGGATACAACATCTCCTCAGAAAAACCGAGATACTCGATAAAAGTTCTCCCCTATCGAACTTGGGTCTCCTGCCAGCGAAAGCAACGCGCTGGTATTTGAGATTGACAGAATAAGCAGCCTTTGGCAGTGGTAGTTGAGATTGACAGAATAAGCAGCCTTTGGCACTGGTCGTTGAGATTGACAGAATAAGCAGCCTTTGGCACTGGTAGTTGAGATTGACAGAAAAAGCAGCCTTTGGCACTGGTAGTTGAGATTGACAGAATAAGCAGCCTTTGGCACTGGTCGTTGAGATTGACAGAATAAGCAGCCTTTGGCACTGGTAGTTGAGATTGACAGAAAAAGCAGCCTTTGGCACTGGTAGTTGAGATTAACAGAATAAGCGGCCTTTTGCTTCACTTAAAAAATTAATTGTCATTTTCCTCATAGCTTTTTACGCCTCTTTCAGCACAGTAAGGCTGTATAATAAGAGAGACATCCGAATTTAACGTTTATAGGACTGGGTCAAATGGGGTTCAAAGCCTTAAAAACTCTCAAAACAGCTCAAATTCAGAACAAATCCTTGATCATGTATTGATTTAAAGTAAAAGTGTTAACAAACAGTTTGATGCTAGCTACGAGAATTCTTTTGACAAGCTAAAAAGGTGGTCTTGACGAGCCTTTAACGATATGTATTCATTCATTACACCGTGTCAGATGCTATGCAAGTGCTCATCAAACTTCAACCTTAATTTCTCTAAATTTGTTTAGCGTGCAGAAAAAATGAGTTACTTCTCGGATTTATCAAGCCAGGTGGAAAAAGATACATTCTACTTATTTTATAGGTGAAGTCTTTACAATCTGTATGTATGAAATAATTAAAGGAATAATATATATATATATAGGTAAAGAATATGGCATCAATAGAAATTGTATCAATTTGACCCTAGTATCGAGTTTTGGCCAATAATATCTCCAGTTGTGGATTGCGAAAAGCATCTCATTTTGTCAGCACGCCTCACAATTTTTATTTCCTTTGCAGCGCACAGCCATTTGCTACCCAGGAGACAAGGATATTATGTACCGGAGGAGTTACGAGGACTCGTGGAAGGAGCTTGACAACATCACAGACGCCGACGACCACCACACGGAAACACAGATGGCCAACTCGTGGTCCGTGGATAACAAAGACAGCCTGGGCCACTTCAGGCACGGCTCAGACCACAGCGAGCACGCCGTGGATTATACCACATTTCTCCAGCAGAGCGCTCTGAGAGAACAGCAAAGACAGGAAATTCAACAACAGCAACAGCAACAGCACCAACAGCAACAGCAACAGCACCAACAGCAACAGCAACAGCACCAACAGCAACAGCACCAACAGCAACAGCTGCGTTCTTCGATTATTTCTCACGGATACATCGAGAGTGTAAATAATAATGAACCTGTCATCGAGACTTTCATAGAGGATGGTGAAGACATACCCGTCATCGAGACGGTTATAGAAGAGGCTGTGACGGATTTCTCGGCGTCTTCGCCTGTGTTCACCACCACCAGTAGTGCCGGGAGAAGCCCCACGCCGTCTCGCTCCAGCTCACAGAGCAGAGAAAACGGGACGTCAGAGCACGTCTATTCAGAAGTGGCGGTGACCTCTGTACAGAGGACGAGAACAAACAGTCATAGCGGTGAGTCCTCTCCTACTGCCGCCATCCAGCCGATTTACGCTACTGTGAACAAAAAGCGGGGAAGTACGGGCAGTGTCAGATCTGTGGGGTCAGGAAAGACCCGAAGAGCACCAGAGGCGCCTTCTGGCGCGAAAGTTGTCGTGAGTAATGGGGTCACGGAGAACAATCTGGATGAGATTTCCACAGAACTACGCAGGCTGCAGACGAGGCAGTCCACCTTAGGCTTCCGGGAGATCTCTCGAGTTGCCGGATCGGATACTTCTTCCAGTTCTCAAGGTTAGTCACTTATCTATTATATATTCGGCAACTTGGAAACACATGTGTCACTTTTCCCATAAAACTACGACAGCTACAGAGGTGAAAGGAAATTAGTCAATCAAAAATCGGGCTCCGTCTTGGGGACCTATCTATCTTTTTGCGGGAACTTTCCACCTTTCAACTCTGTAGCTGAAGTCTAAAAAAATATTGCTTATCGCAGATAGCTCATTTTCTTCTTTTCTGACATGGCTCAAAACCTCTCGATCTTTCTTCTGTAACACCAATGCTCTGTGTTGTCTGTCTGTTCTTCTTCTTCTGTTTTCCATTAAGTGTGCACATCAAGACCTACCATAAACAGACACGTATTTGATTTAACAAATATCTGTCGGCCACTGTTCCTCAATTTGAAGACTGTTTTAGCGGGTGGTTAGCGGGTGCTCTGATGTGGTTTGTTCCTTCTTTCCTTTAAGAAATATATCGTCTCTGTCTCCCCTCCTTCTTTTTTATCTTTGTTACTCTCTTGTAACACCTCGAATCTTCGGCACTTATATGACCTTGTTATGTTGCAAGTGCGTAAAACTCTTACTAAAACTAAAACAAAGACCGTTTTAGTCTACATGCATGGATCCGAGGTTGGAATCAGATCTGTGTCTGAATTTAGTTCCTATTCCTGGAATGTTTTTCCTTTCAGTCTGATGTCTTGTCGACGACCTAGCGCTCTTCTGTCCAAATTACCGAATATATGTTGTCTATTATGGCGTGCAACTCCACTAATTGTTGTTATTTTTAAAGATGAAAATTGATCTCAGTATTGTTTTTGAAATATTTTACACCCACATCAATACAATTTAGCCGAACGTTGTGTTTTACTATCGTATCCGTACGACGTGGGAAACTCTGTGCCACCACTTTCAAAGATGACATTTACTCGTTAATCAGATCCGTACGCTTTGCATCGCAGTGTGTCAAATTGATTTTTTGAGAAATACTGAAAGTTTCAAAGAGATCTTCGTACTAGATCTAGAAGTATTGTAAAATGTGAAGAATACAGCCCCGGGGGTACAAAATGACCCCAGGGTGTACGGATAGGGTTAATTAGAAGTCCTGCTTCAACCATGTTCGTCAAGGTCACCCAGAACTAAGTGGGGTGCAGCGTCCAAACTCCAAACAGACCAATGGAGATACCTGATGAAAGTACTTTCCCAAACGAGAGTCGCACTCACATTCCCGACTCCATCCGATGAATCAGAAGGGCAGTGTGCACTGGACATAGAAATCTACAGTGCTGTAAAAATTCATGGCGCTACTTATCCTCAAATATCTCTTAAATGGGTAAATCACCGTCACTCATACTTTGCACAGCTGTTTGTATCAATTTTTCTTAACTTAGTCATATTTTCTCACAACAATTGAGGCTAGATTTAAAAACTGTTTTTCATAATTTATATAAAATGCTATAAGTCTCCGTCACGCGAAAAATGGGGTTGTTCACAGCCCTTCCTGCTTCTTGCACACATTTTGTGTACGCTTATGGCCTACGTCACAGCTCACCAATGACACTCTTTTAAAAAATGGCTAAACACATTTTTACACTGGGTTCTCAAAACATGCGTTCAATAAGCATACCGTCGCGATTAGAAAACAATGTCAGACTTGCTTTTCAAAGCGACGTTGCCCAAGTTGTACACTTTTTTAAAAGCTGGAGAAAACGTCGACTTCGATTTTTTATTAATATTTGTTAAGGAATTTTCTAGAATACAGTGTAGAGGAGTTTGAAAAAATAGTCATCAGTTAAGACAAATTGATATAAGTCATTGTGCGAACGTTGGAGAATCTGTGTTCGATAGCTAAGGATATATATGGCAATAGGTTACGCCACGAATTTTTGACCGCACTATAATTATAACCAATACATCACAGACACCAGTAGTCTTATCAAAGATTTTCCACTATCTTTGGTCTCATTTTGGCATTTCTGAGCTGTGATGAATATTAAACATACGAACTGGGGGCTCTCGTGGTGGTCTAGAGAAAACTGTGTTTGTCTCTCATTCAACAGGTCCCCGGTTCGAATCCGGATAGCGACGGAACATTTTCTCCTCTAAATGTTCTCTTTTCACCTCCTTTCCTGCTCTTTAAAAATGTTTTGTCGTCTGTTTTGTCTCCACTTTCTGACCACTCCCCCCTCCCCTTTGCCCCCTCCTCTGGGCTTCCGACTCTTTCTGCAGCCTTTCTACTGTTACTCCTTGGCTCCTTCTCACTGCTGTCTTTCATCCATACCCCTGATCTTATGGTAGGTAAGATCTAACACCTAGCCTTCTCGGATAAGGGCGAAAAATCTTGGAGGTCCCGCGTGCAAGTTGCACACGTTAAAGATCCCTTGGTAGTCTAAAATCGATAAGAGTAGGCTTCGGCCGCCATCCGGGCAAAATTCAAAATTTCCTACCAACTGAAAATGTTTCATGTGTCTCGCGCGCTCATATGACCTTATGCAGTTGTGAGCGCCGTAAAGCATTTACCATATATATATATATATATATATATATATATATATATATATATATATATATATATATATATATATATATATATATATATATATATATATATATATATATAATTTTTCTCTCTGACAGCCTCATCGGAAAAGGGCGATGATTCCTTCGACAAGGGTAGTAAAAGCGGCACCTGGACATCGCTCAAGAACAAGCTGAAGGGAAGCCTCAGGATAAAAGGATCAAACAGTACGTATTGATGGGACGTTTTGTCTTGGCCTATAATTCAGGAAATGGAAGTTTCATAATTTTGTCTAGCGTGTGTTCGAAGCAGGGGTAGGCCCAGACACCGCCCAGAATAACATACTTAGGGAACCTAAACAAATGGGTAACAGGGAAAGATCAGGGCAACGTAGCTTTTTTGAGAGCATCCGAGCAAAGGAATGAATGGAGAACCATGTTGCTCCCTGTTGAATGTCGTTGAATTCTTCTTTAGCGGTGCTGCTTGATTGCAGTTTACAATTACAGTCTGTTTTTATTCTTTGGAAAATCAAATTTAATTCAGATAAAAATATCGTGAATGTTATATGTGAGGCAGCGTGGTGGAATCAAAATAACCAAAGACAAGAAACTTGCGTTTTTCCACAGGTTTGTGAATTTTTGTCAAATTTTTGTTTTTTGCTTAACGCCTTTCATGCCCACTAAAGAACTAATTTCTGTGTGGATTTTTCTGGAAAAACGTTATTTAAAGGCACAAAAAATGTAAATGTTCTATTACCACGGACTCTTAAGCAAAGGAAATAACTAACCTTTGGCGGCCATTTTCTCACTAATTTTACCTCTGAAAACAGGTGACCCCCACCTCCAACTTTCGTAAATATCTTGACTTGTATTCAAGATAAATGGATACTTTTTCATCCAAATAAAGACAGGTGAACGAGCTTTAAGATGATACCAATAACTTTACATGCCCAAACATTGATGAGAGCCTGATTCCACCACGCTGCCTCACATAGTAGAATACCCTCGTGAAGTAATTATGTTTGTGTCATAGAGGAGGGATTGTGGGCTACCACCTCCAAACATTCACCTGTACTACTCACGACTAACAGATGCGCTTATATGAGATACCGAGAAGGAGATGTGAGAGTAAGGAGAGAGAGAGAGAGAGAGAGAGAGAGAGAGAGAGAGAGAGAGAGAGAGAGAGAGAGAGAGAGAGAGAGAA